AGGAAGAAGACGATTGTGTGTGTATGTTTTTTTTCTTATTTTTTATTTAATTATTTAATATGATAAATGAAAAGTTACTATTTTGTCCTTTTTTAAAATATTAAGAATGTGGTCAAAGTTATTTTTTTTGTCAACTGATAGAATTATGGATGAAAACTGTCCAAAAGGGTTTCACCTACAACATTTGGAAATGTTATGGGTAACGGCTGCAACAAATCAAAGATTTAGGAAGAGTCTGCTAATGTTTCAAATATTTGGGGCGTTTGCTGCAATTATGCCAATATTTTATTGTGTAAATGTGCGATTGAAAATGATCATGTAACAAATTATAAAATAAATTAATGGGCGTCAAATAGACACTTAGCCCTCAAGATTTGAACGGTATTGAATTATATTATAAAATCTTTCAAAGTCAATGAAATAATTTTAACTTAGATTGTTAAAAAATTATCGTATTAAATTGGACTTCCACAAAGCCATTCAATTTTTATAGATTTTCCATATAATAATATTTCAAGATTTCGTTTAGAAACCAAAAATAGTAGGTAAATTTTAAAACGAATAAAACAAATGTCACTTTTCCATCTTCATTCACAAAATCTTTCACGTTTGGTTTGAAAAAAAAAAAAATTAGATTTTTAATACAATTTAATAAAATTTATGGATCCAATTAAAAATGAGATTAAAAAAAAAGGAGTTTAAATAATGATGTCAAATAGGGGGCATATCAGAGAAGTAATTAGCTGTGAACGTTTTATAAATGTAATGTTCATAAGAATATTATATATTTTTTTATGATGATAATAATATAAATAGTATATAGAACAATTAAATTCGTTAATTCATTCGTCTGAAGGTCATAAAAAATATAAAGCAAAAAAAGTCAATATACGGATCATTAGACAAAATTTCTGAATTGACGATTCAAGTCATTTACAGCACTCTTTTGAGCTTCCCTCAAGAGGCCAAATTTTAAAATCACTAATCAATTATTAAGTCCTCTCCAACATTTAGGGTTTGTCATATTTTAATAAAAAATATTTTCTTTAGGGAGTCATGATTTTTTTATTTTCTATGTAATTGACTCTCTTTTTCTCTCTCGTCTACTCATCAATAAAAAATGGACAAGTATAATATTTTCTAAGTTGAAAACTAAATCAATCGAACACATTTAATTAATAATTTTCATACAAATAAATTCTAGACAATTAAATTGCTTAGAATTTCTTTATTTTTCCATGCAATTTCTTTATTTTAAAAGAAATTTACAACTGCGGCGCCCATGGAAGGCAAGGCCATGGCCAAATGGCATTTTCCCCCATGTAATTGCTTATAATTACAATCTATCATAATGTATGTTTTTGTATAAGCAATACTGAATTGATTATATTCCACTTTATATTAAGTCGGTTATTCAAAAGAAAAAGAAGAAAAGTTATTCACCTTTTATTAAACTTGAATGAAAAACTTTACTTAATCAATAAGCTTTGCCTAGCATTTTATACTTGGAACTTAGTTAAAGAGGGCTACTTTCATTTGTAGACGAAGTCAAACCGACTTCAGTGTTGAGATAAAAAGTTTATTTATGTCAATTTCAACCGTGTCATCTTTTTTTGACCACTCCACTCGAATAATACTGATGATTATAGTATCAATTGTGTGATCTTGACTTTTTCAAGATGGAAAGTAAAGTATCAACCACCCCCACCAAAATTAACATAATCATGTCAACAACTTCAATTATTTCAAAGTTCAATTAACATCTCAGAAAAAAGTATATCCTCCAATTCAGTAGCAACTGAAGAGAGATCTGGTGAGAAAAAAATATGGGCAAGATTGGTTGCAGCATCAATGGAAACTTGGATGACTCGAATTTCAACAAGCCGATGCCTTGGATAGGAATATATGTGGCTGCAGCCTCTGCAGCATGCGCTTTGGCCATGGCTCTTGATGCCTTTCGTGGATTTCGCTATAAAAAGTTCTGGTTCCCGTGCAAATTCTTCGCTCTCAATGCCACGACCCTGACTCTCATAGGTGTGGCGATCAAACTGGCGGTTGACTTGAATACGTCCATGCCTCGCCCAAACGACCAGCTTGCGAAACTCAGCAGTACCACCTTTATATGTACAGCAATAGGTAATTTTCTGCCTTCTTTAGGTACCATGGGAGATCAAGAACTGATGATGAATGTTGTGGCTTTGGGAATTCTTGTCATTACTGTCATTGTCAACATTGGGATCCAATTAGGTACCGGGGTAATTTATGTGTTTTGGAAAGAGCATGCCATCATCATGTTTCTTATGGTGATTTTGTTTTCAATCACGGTTTCTTCGGCTCTAACAATTCCGTCGACAAAGTCTTACTTTGATTTGAAATATAGAAAGAAATATAAACTAGCAATCGAAGAATGTGATAACAATGTAAATCCACGCGTACCTGAGAAACTCAGAGATGATTTGACGAGGTACTGGATGATGGCAAATACTTGTAACCCGCAATTCGTGATGGGGCGTATAGCAACGTGCACAGCTTCAGGTGCATTCTGCCTCGTAAGCGCCGCGACTCTAGCAGAAGCCATGCTTCGCAATTACTTGACGCCCTGGTGCTTTAAATTTTGTGATGGGGAGTCGGATTACAAATGGTCGACCACTTTAATTCTTGTAACTCAAGCTATAGCAGTAGGAGTAGGTACCCTCGCCCCAGCTTCTAGATGGTTCATAGCCATAAAATTCAGGTGCCCGAAGAGAAACAAGAAGACCTATAAAGCTGAGTTTGCAGTGGAAAACTATTGGATACGGATACTATACAAGTGGAGAGACTGTCCACTAAATTATAGAATCTTTGGCCGGCATGGTAGAAAACTTGTGCACATCACCAAGAACAGGGTCTTGAATATATGCATTTGGATGCAGAAAGCAATGGTATTACTGAGCAAGTCTGTCAGGCTTATTTCCATATTGTTTATGAGCCGGTTACTGATCATCGGCCAGTACAGCAAGAAATTTATCAGCTTATTTAAATGCAGCAATACAGTTTCAATTTTTGATGTAAAATCAGACTCCAATACCTGTCCAAAACTGGAACTTAGAAATTTTGTTTTGCATCTTGAAGGAGAGGAAGAATTGATTGACATTGTGACAGAAAGTGACAGGGATACCACTGGTTGTTGGATCAGAATGGGGAAAAAGCAGCAGCCAAAGTACCTCATACAACTTTTGGAGAAACTGAATTCTACGCCTGGATTTGAGGGTGTGAAGAAATTTGACAGCGACCAGGTTTCTTCTCTGGAATCTGAAGAACCTCCCAACTGTTGGGCTCTTCCTGTGGTGACACTAACAAGCATCGCAGTTGCAATAGGCAACAGCAACTTTCATTTAGTGAAGGAGTTGGTACACAGTGTACACCAAGGCCTGGAGTACATTAGAGTCATAGAAAACAACCTGGACACAAAAAGAGAGACGTTAAATAGCAGGCAAGCAGCAGAAGTTGAATGGGTCGGAGTTGATCTCCATTACAGGTGGTTGGATGTGGATCTTCGTGAAATGGGTATTGAAGGCAAGAGCCCAAGAGATATAATTTCAGAGCTCTCTGATGCAGCAAAGCACAGGTTCATGGAGTTGAGAAAGAATGATGCAACAAGTTGTTTAAGAGACGGCCCTTCCAGATGGCCAATCAAGGTTTTGGCTGCCAATTCAATGTATAGAACATGTCAAACACTTCTGCTAAATCTTGATAACAAAGGGAGTGGATGCAGTAACACAATTTTTGAAATACTTTCTGGGATGATTGCGGATGTAATAGGGGCTTGTCTTACCAACTTACCACGTGTAATATCCTTGAAATGCCATCACAGCACCATTGAAGAAAGAGAGCAAAGTGTACGCAATGCTATTCTTCTACTGGGTAAAACAGAGAAGATCTTGGAAATTCTTATAGGGCAACCACTTCCAACATCGGATCCAGATCAAATGGCTTGCATTGATGAGTGGCGTGCACTGAGCAGAAAAGAAGATCATCTGTGTAGCGACTCTTCTTCCGGAAATTGTGATTTGGAATTAAGTAGTTCATCTGACTTGTATCTGAACATTGACTAAGAAAAAGATCCTGTAATTTTGAAACAAAAAATGCAGGCACAGGTTTTGATATGTAGTACAAATTTACTTCTAAATGTATATATCTAGTATTTTTATAGCTTTTTCAGCAGACATACAGCACTGTATATACATACATACAATAAAGGAGCTATTTATAACTGATTTCGACATAAAAATGTCAAAAAATAAAACATGGGAACGACAGAAAACTAACTATATAAACTAGACAATTGACCATATCCCAAGCAATTCCATAAGCCAATAAAATTAAAAAGATTAGGACGAATGAGATTGGTATTGTCCCGTCCATACATGACGCAGAACGGAAGCAAAAGATCTACCAGCGTAAATCTTGAAAATACGAAAATTGAAATTCTCCAAGAGCGAAACTTGTATGCAATCAATAATGATGTTGAAAACGTTCAAAAGGCCTTTAAATAGGCGTTACAACAAACCTTAAAAACATAGAATAGTAAAACATTCCAAAAATAGCGAAAATTCAAAACGGGAAATACGGAAATTAATTATTCGGAGGCCTAAACAAAGGAATTTGGCTAAAATTGATCTCGGGATATCCCGAGTCCAATTTTTCTGGCCGTTTTCAATCAACCAGCCAACTTTCAGCCCATTTCGACACTATCGCAACAAATGCCAAAATTGCCCCGGCGCGGTCTTTTTTGTCAATTTTCTGTCCAGCACTTCTTCAAGCTAGTGGAGTCAAAATTGATACCTAAAATGTGACACTTTGATAAAAGAGATGAAGCCACACGTCCTCTCATCCAATCACTATAAATATCCCCCATTTGTGCCGTTTGATGTAATGAAAAAGTATTGACTACAAACTATACATATTCTCTCTTTCTGATTAATATACTGTTTTTAGTGTGTGAAGTAAAATCTTGATTGTGAGTTTGGTTTTTAATTTATCGTTCATTATCATATAAATTATCTCATATCTTTTGTTGGAGCCCAAACATCTTTGTCCGGTGTTATAAAGCTTCTCCCACGTTCATACCATGTTTATTGTCAATAGACAATCAGCGATCATTTCACTCAACAACATTATAAAAGAACAGAGAAGACTCATGTAAACCATTCACGAAAATGACAAACTAATCACTATTCACCAACTAATGATCTAGCAAATATGAATGACAAAACCTTCATTGGCTTAGTGTGATGTTTAGAGCAGAATCTGTCGATTCAATTTGATGAGTACCTGAACTTTGTGACAGACCTTGGTGTCCATTTTTTTCACATAATTCAAGACAAATTCACCTTAGCATGCGTTCTCACACAGAACAATAAATATATCTTAGCATAAAATTCGAGAGTTACAGATAGCCGATTTTCACTCTCGCCGGCGCCTATTGTTTTAGAGTCAAATTCAAGAAGTTCACAAGGTAACCAAATCTTTCGAGGATGAATTCCACGAAGGAAAACTTGCAGCGGAGTTCTCAAACCTTTCAAAAAGTGCCAATGGATTCCAAACCTTTTGAGTCATGATAGATACACCGAATATGATATCAGTATTCTAGCAGTAGTTGATAAGTGCATTTTTGTGTACTTNAGTCAAAATCTTGTCACCTCTTCTACAACTTTTAATCACAATACCTTGGAAAAAACAGGTAAGCCTTTGACACACTTTAACGGTCACATACTCCACCATATGAGTATAACCACTCAGAATTATCCACAAACTCCGAGCATGTTATCGGCTACATGTCGAAACCCTGATGATAGTTATGGTGCAACTCTCCCACTAACATTCCCAGAAAGCTAATCAGCCATCGATAATACAACACCGCCACATACCTACACACCTTGCATCAAATGTCAGTTAATGCTATGTATAGATATGCTGACCCGCGCCAATAAGAACACATCTTCTATCATGGCAACTGGCGACATGCTATGAGAATGTTCTCATCTTACTTTACAGCACCACAAGCACGTCCTCCTCCGCCAAGAGAGATGCATTGTCCGACCCCAAGCAATTAGCCGACCCTGCTTTACTTTTTGGACAATTTCTCTTTACGTAACCAGTCTAACCGTAGTTCCAACAAGTTGCTTTCTTCCTCATGGAGTTTCCCCTCTTCCCCTTTTCAGTCACAAGTA